TCTCTCTCTCTCTCTCTGTCTCTCTATCCCTCTTAGCCATCTCCCTTGGTCGTTGAAATTGTGTGTGTCCCTCTCAGCCCTAACCCGGTCAAGACAGGGTCATCAGCCCCCTTATTAGTCAAAATTGCGTTGACTGGGGCTTAAAATACTAGCAGTGAATCAAGAGTGGATGGGTCCCTAAAGTGTTGGAGAGAGATGGAAAGAGAGAGAGAGAGAGTGAGTGAGTGTGAGAGAGAGAGAGAGAGAGATAGATAGAGAGAGAGAGAGAGAGAATTTTCTGTTATCGCCTAATTCTCAAACCCTGTAACAACTTCCTTCCCCTCTTAACAAATATAAAAATCGCAAGTGCACTTGTGTACACTCACAAATATTTGCACTCATTTTTCACGCTGATGCACACACACACACACACACACACACACACACACACACACACACACACACACAACACACAACCTACAACACAACAGATACACCTGTTTAAGACAACACCCTTCCCACATTACCTGTATGCATTGCTGCAGTACGCACACAAAACATAAGAGGAAAAGAAATTGTTCTTAACCCTTTATAGTTCAGACAATTACCATCTCCGTTTGTACAGTCAAAGTAGAATGTTAATTCAATAGAGCTTGAAACAAAGCCAAGACAGCTTTACCTTTATTAAGGAATAAACAAGTGCAAAAATTGTAATTCCTCGGCCTGCAGCTAGAATGAACTAAAAACCAACATTAATTTATTCTTTTTTTTTACTGCAGCTTCTTAATTTGTTATATCGGTTGCATGTGCTCAAGATATATAAAAATTTTACAGAGATTCAATTCAAATTCTGAACGTTGAACAGAGCAGGAACAGAAAACTTAATCCTGGTACAATTATACTTTAAAATAAATCAAAGAAAGTTCTTTTACGGGTCCCTTTTAATATTTTTATACCATTCTATGATTGAAAGCGTGTTACTATTGTGTATTTGCTGCTGGGCTGAGAATTGTAGGGTGAAAAATGAAAAATATTTGACCGAACCATTAAGAAAGCCAGCAAGACCCATGGATATCATTTTACCTGAATTGATGAACTGTTTAAGATCGCAAGTATAAAAACGATTAGCAGTACTAAACGACCCATCAAACCCCCTTTTCACACAAATTGCAAGATCACACAGTTGCACATATGTACCTCTAAAAACAAAGAAAGAAACATACAAAAAAAGATTTTTACCATCTAGTAATAGGGTACTGTCGGAATAAACATTAATGTGTATTGCTTTCTTGAGTATGTGTCCATATAACTCTACAGGTCTTGTAATAAAATTCCTGCATGACGTGGTTGAATGATGCATCTGATGTGATGTACATTAATTGTCAGTTTTAGTTTTCTTTTCATATGACTTTTAATGAAAGTAATATGTAATTTAGATTTTCATATAAACCTGCATATTGTGTTTTACTGTCCTGCATAGCCAAGAAATAGTTTCCTTTGGGATAATAAAGTATTATTTTAATCTTTATCTTAATCCTAATTATTAAAAGAATCAAACTTTTTTCCTCTCTCCTTAAAAATTTAGTTTTTCGAGCCTAGCACATTTCAATAGCTTGCCGACGAACTATATCCCATAAAATATTTCAATATAAATACAAATTAATGGTTGGGAACCATATATTGTTGGGGGTTTCTTGGTTTTGGTAACTCTTTTACGGCACTCGCAACTGCATAGGCCCATACATAAGCGTGCAGAACACATTTTTAAAAAAGCATTTTCAGTTTGGTAGGAAACAATTTTGACTTTTGCCCGGGTGGCAGCGAAGCCTACTCTTATTGATTTCAGTACCACTAAGGGGTCTTTATCGTACACAACTTGCACACGGGACCTCCCAGATTTTTTGACCTTATCTGGGAAGGCTAGGTATTCTATCTTAGCTACCCTTAAATCAGGGGTATGGCTGAAAGACGGCAGTTTGAAGGAGGCAAAGATTTGCAGTAGAAAGGCAGCAGAAAGTAGAGTCAAAAGCCACGAGGAGGGGGCAAAGGTATGTGTGTGGGGGGAGGGGGGCAGAGAGTGGAGAGAAAAGCAGACGACAGAACATTACTATAAAGCAGGAAAGCAGGTGAAAGGAGATGTGTTTTAAAGACAAGAAAAATGTCCGTTACTGTCAGGATAAGGTTTGACTTTGAGTAAAGAGAAATGCACCTTGACACAATAAAGGTCATATTTTGCAGGGGGGGGGGGAGTAAAACAGATAACTAAAAACAAAAAAAAGGAAACAAAAAAGAAGTTGGGCCTTCCATCGGCGTTCTCCAGCAAACCGGGAACTAATTTTGAAGAACACAAGCAATAAATAAGATACATCTACAAAGCAATAGACAGGATAAAGCAGCACATCACTCTGCCTCTCCTGGCTACGTTTTACCTTTTCGTTCAACCGAGGCCAGAAAAGTCCCAGCACAAACACAGCACAAAGAGGAGGCTGCAGAAAGCTGGAAATTTCCTGAATATAGACAAAGAGTTGACTCCCCTGACTGGCCTTGATGACGGGGATCCAGACAATGCTGATGACAACCAGGACAATCACGAACACTCTGGGGAATATAGGTAGGTAGATAGGTATGTAGGTAGGTAGGTAGGTAGGTAGGTAGGTAGGTAGGTAGGTAGGTAGGTGTTTTAACCCGTTTTTTGGACCCTTGGCCAACATCACCTAAAATATACACATTTTACAGAAGAGATTTCCGTAAAAGCAGAAAAATTATACATAACAGGCGCATCAATAACACTTTAAAAACGTTTTCCGTTGTTATTCAAAGTTTCCATAATAAAATGGTATATATAAGAATAGGTGGAATTCACCTACAATTTCATGAGAGGTACACCTCCCACGTACAGGTAAAGTTGCTAATTTTCATCCATAAAGATTATTATTTAATGGCAGGCTTGGACTTTTATCAGCGCTATGACTCTTCGGTTCCGAAACCCCAGGAGGTTAATCCTGCTGTTTCTTGAAAAGGGGAGTGAAGAGAGAATATTATTTTATCACTGAAAAATGCATATACTTGTTCCCCTTTGTTCTGCGCGCAACGATCAACAAGTCTACTTTTCTTTTAACAGAGAAATAACTTAGTGTATAGTCAATGGGATCGAAATGAGAATTATAGCAGATTTATATATTTGTGATGCAGCAAGGTGGAATCAGGCTTTCATCAATTTTTGGGCATTTAGAGTTATCGGTATCATCATGAAGCTTGTTCATTTGTCTTTATTTAGATGGAAAAAATATCAATTTATGTTGAATGCTAGTCGAGATATTTGCGAATGATGGAGGTGGGGGTCAACTGTTTTCAGAGGTAAAATTAGTGAGAAAATGGCAGCCAAAGATTAGTTATTTTCTTAGCTTAAGAGTCCGTGGTAATTGAAATTTTACATTTGTTGTGCCTTTAATCAACGTTTTTAAGAAAAATCCACACAGAAATGAGTTCTTTAATGGGCATGAAAGGTGTTGAGCCAATAAACAAATATTTGATAAAAATTCACAAGCCTGAAGAAAAATGCAAGTTTCTTCACTTTGATTATTTTGACGAGAACCTGATTCCACCACGCTATCTCAAATTTATATAAATTTCAATTTCAGAACATCAAAACAATTAACGATTAACACAGTTACCCCCTACCCACCCACCAATTTTCGTTTTTCTTTTGTCGTTTTTTTTTTCTCTCTCTCTCTCTCTCTCTCTCTCTCTCTCTCTCTCTCTCTCTCTCTCTCTCTCTCTCTCTCTCTCCCTCTCTCTACCCTTCCCCCTTCCCCCCTCCCCCCTGTCGTGCTTTTCATTTCCAAATAGAGTCAAATGGAGCTCTCGGCAGTGAACTGGAATTTCTTCCAAGCGCACAGTCCAGGATAATAAGATACAAGCCTATGGATGGTGTATATCTAGCAGTTGACGCACAGTTCGAGTATCTTGGGGAGAGAGGGGAAGGAGGTTAGATGGGATGGAAGAGAAGAGAAGATGTGAAGGGGGAAGGGGGCGACGGAGAAAAGGGTTGTGTAAGAGGAAAGGGGGAAGAGAGAAAGAACATGTGGGATACAAGTCTATGGATGGTGCATATCTAACAGTAGACATAGAGACCCCGTAAGCTAGTGGAGCGTGGAAGGAGTGGAGATGGAATGGAAGCGGGGGTGTGGAAGGGAGTGTGGAAGGAAAGAAAATGAGTGGAGGGGAGACATGGTATGGAAGGGAGGGGTTGGAAGGGGAAAGGGGGTGCGGAAGGGTAGTGAGAGTTTAGTGAGGGTGTGGTGGGAGGGGAGATTGGATATTATGTAAAGGAAGTGGAGTGGAAGGAGAAAGAGGATTTTAGAAGAGGACACAGTGTGTGGAACGGGAAGGTGTAGAAGTGGAAAAGGAGTGTGGAAAGGGAAATGAGGTGTGGAATGGGAAGGAGTTGAAGTGGAAAGGGAAATGAGGTGTGGAATGGGAAGGAGTTGAAGTGGAAAGGGAAATGAAGTGTGGAAGGGACGTGAATGTGTTGAAGAAACGGGATGTGTGATGGGAAACTGGGAGGGAGGTTGGTTCAGAAAGTGTAACCACCTGCCAACGATCATTATCTCCAGCTCCGATGCCTTCTTTCGGATATGAATCCACACATCCATGGCGAAGATGGTGCTGCTGCTGTTGAAGATAGAGGTGAGGGAGGACATGAGAGCCGCCAACATGACCGCTATCATCATCCCTCGGGCGCCGGCGGGCAGCAGATTCAGGACCAGGGTCGGGTAGGCGATGTTAGAGCAGCCCGTGCTACTGCCGCACACCTCCATGCAGGTGTCCGGGTCAGAACAACCGACAGTCTCTGGGAGAAGGAGAATAAGAACAGTTTTTAATAAAGAAAGGGAGAGGGGGTGAAATGAGAGAGAGAGTTAAAGAGTGAGAGAGAGAGAGAGAGAGAAAGACAGAGAGACAGAGAGAGATAGAGAGAAAGAGAGAGAGAGAGAAAGAGAGAGAGAGAGAGAGAGAGAGAGAGAGAGAGAGAGAGAGAAGAAGAGAAGAGGAGAGAAAGGAAGAAGAAGGGGGGGGTTAAAGAAATATCACTGCCAGAATTTATCACCATCATCATCATCATCTTTTTCTTTTTCTTCTTCTTCTTCTTCTTCTTCTTCTTCTTCTTCTTCTTCGTCTTCTTCTTCTTCTTCTTCTTCTTCTTCTTCTTCTTCTTCTTCTTCTTCTTCTTCTTCTTCTTCTTCTTCTTCTTCTTCTTCTTCTTCTACTACTACTACTACTACTACTACTACTACTACTACTACTACTACTACTACTACTACTACTACTACTACTACTACTACTACTATTACTACTACTACTACTACTACTACTATTACTACCCTTCAACCTTCCGGATTTGGATTAACTTTAAGTGCAACATCCTATTCTCCCATACGTTTTTTGTCTTTCATGCACAAGCAAACAGATAGTACGCATGGCTGGAGGGAACCAAATGTAGGTATTATTTCTCCACAAACACACAGGCAAAAACAAACAAAAAACAAACAAACCAATATACAAATAATAAACAAACAAACAACAAAGGAACAAACAAACAAACCAACAGATACAGTTGACGAAGTCAGAAAACTCACCAGTGAAAAGAATCCTGGCGATCATCCCAGGAAAGACAAGCAGGAACATGGGCAATAACTTGATGAATCCACAGAGCAACGTCCCAGCCTTGGCATGGGTGTAGGAGCGCGCCGCAAGGGCTCTTTGAACAATCACCTGGTCAATGGGGTCACAAATTAGGCTAAAGATCGACAATTCCGAAGAAAAGTTGGATTACAATAGACTACAAATTTTCAAAAAGTTTCTGCTTCCAAGCTCAAACACACCCTGTTGTTCATTTCGGGATGCTGAACATGAAACTGGTTGTGAAACTTGACGTTTAGATCTGGTTTTCAAGATTCTCAAGATAATAATTCATGTTTTCATTATTTGCAACGAGTTAATAAGGGCTTAAAAGGACACATGCTCTGAACATAACTGATTAATTATTTCTTGATTTGCTTTTCGTATTCAAGTTCTGGTGCTTTGTTTGTTACTGGACAACAATTATCTGCTAACTTTTTTGGACTTTATTTGTCCTCATGTTGCTTTCACATGGCTGCAATGCCTTTGTTCATCGATGGTCGAAATAATGATGATCATGAAATGAATTTAATATTAAAAGATTTTTTTTTGCTCCGTTTTCAGTACCTGGTCCGAACACCAATACCAGACAGAGTTGATCATTAGTCCAGCAATTCCTGGCCAGGGAAGATCTCCGCTGGAAGCATCACGGAACAAGTTCATGTAGTCACCTCGGGGTATGCCACACGTGTCGTTGCCGTATAAAGTCGAATTTGAAATAGCTTGGGGAAATTTCTCCACCATCGCATTGAATCCACCGACTTCTTGAAAACCTAAGTGTGAAATGTGTATTATATTGTTTTATTGTAATGTAAGTATTATAATATTTCTAATGATCTATAGGAAAAAGTAAAAATGATTGCAAATGTTGTATCCCTTCATCTACAAAGCTTAAATTATTAAATTCAAGAAAGCAGACTTGCAGCTTTGCTCCTTCAAACCTGAGCTGAAAGACTGAGATACTCTGCTCTTTTGGGTGCATCGGCTGAAAACCTATTAATCATTATATTACAGATACTGTACACTGGCATGAAGTAGGGAAGTGGACATGGGAGTGTAATATGGTGGAAAAAAACCCTGGTAAAAAATAAATTTAAACCTTTCGTGTATGACGCAACGGTGACTCAAATGTTGCCTTAAGATAGCGGAGACCCCAAAAGTATGTACAATGATTACAGTTGAGTATTTTCAGAAAAAAAGAGTTAAGACTTACTTTTACTCATAACACACATGAATATACGGACTGACCTTAATATGACAGAGTATATAACGGCAACTTGCCACTGTAAAAACTGACGGCGGGTCATTGCACGTCGGCTTACGAGACAGACAGAGATGATACCTCCAGCTAGCGAGGTAGTCATCGGAGATGGTAGGACTTAACACGTACTTTACTTACTAATGATCATAAGAACAAAAGCGCCGACCAGCATGATGATGGTCTGTATAAAGTCAGTCCAAATCACGGCAGTGAGCCCGCCTGATACAGTGAACACGGCGGCAACACCCAGAAGAAGTGAGATGGCACCGTATATGTCCCAGTTCAGAGACTGCTCGATGAAAATGGCGCCAGAATAGAGGTCAGCCTGCAGGATTCGGGGGAAAAAACGAGTTACGGGGGGGGGTTGTATATATTTGTTTGGTTTGAAACAATTTTCCTTTCGATCATCGATGGCCCCGGTAGCATGGTTCTAGTTGGTAGTCTAACGGACACGTAATTGAGAGATTGCGGGTTTGGGGGTTGGAGCCTCAGCTTGGTTGGACGTTGTGTCTTTGAAAAAGGCACTTCACATGAAATATCCTTTTTGGCTCGGTCTTTTCTTAGATGGACGTTAAAACTCCGCGGTCCTGCTTCTAAAAAAACAACCTACTACTGTTACTAGGGGCGTCAAACCTAAACCATTAATTCACATTATTCTGCCCCTCTTCCCTTGGCTGCTTGCTCAACAACGTGTTGTGGGACGGGGGTGGGTAGGGGTCAATATTATACGTTCAGTTAAAACTAACAGTTGTCCATCCTCTCTATGATAAGATTATGACACGCGATGCAATCTCAACAAAAATACTTCTTTTTTGTGACCTTTAAAATCCAGTTGGGAAAAGAGTCATCCGCGAGTCGTATAGTAAATTTTGATGTGCTGGTTCCGAATATGATATTATATTTACTTTAAGACGTAGTTTTCGAAAAAGTTTATAAACGAGAATTGTATAACGAGGGGGCTGCAGACAGTCCCAAGGTCGGACGCACGAAAATCAAGCCATGCCTGGTGGTTCTCGTGGCCTAGAGGTAAAGGTGTTGGCCTCTCATTCAAAGGTCCCGGGTTCGAATCCGGGTGACAACCGAAACATGTTCTTCTAAAATATTGTCTCCTTTCAACTCCTTTTCTGCTCTATAGCAATGTTCTGTTATCTGCTTTCGTCTCCACTTTCTGCCCCCACCTCCTCACCTCCTTCGCCCCCTCCTCTGGGCTCCTGACTCTTTCTGCAGCCTTTCTACTGCTACTCCTTGGTTTTTTCTTACTGCTGTCTTTCACCCACACCCCTGATCTTCTGGTAGGACAGATCTACACCTAGCCTTCTCGGACAAGGGCTAAAAAACCTCGGAGGGCCCGTGTGCAAGTTGCGCATGTTAAAGATCCCTTGGTGGTCTAAAATCGATAGAGTAGGCTTCGGCCGCCACAAGGGCAAAATTCAAAATTCCCTACTAACTGAAAAAAGTTTAATATGGCCCGCACGCTCATATGACCTTATGCAGTTGCGAGTGTCGTAAAACACGTTTTAAAAAAGCTATGTCTGAGTTTTATTGCAGCCGCTCGGTCGGACAATGTGTCACGTCTGTAGCTCGCTGGTGATTAAATTACGTATACTAGACCCTTTAGGATCAGTGTATAGATACATAGACTGGCCGAACACGCCCTGCATAAAGTGTATTGGCATTTAATAGCATGCATGGTTGAATAAAATACTGTGTGAACATATCTCTCTCTCTCTCTCTCTCTCTCTCTCTCTCTCTCTCTCTCTCTCTCTCTCTCTCTCTCTCTCTCTCTCTCTCTCTCTCTCTCTTTATATATATATCTCTCTCACTATATCTCTCTTTCTTTGTTTTTCTCCGTCCCAGCCCAGTTATTCTTTCTGAGAATGGTGAAATGGTATAGGTTTAGCGCCCCTATCAACACCCTCAGATTATTTAAGAGGCTTCACCTCCGAGTTTAACGCCCATCTCCGAAAGCACGGAGCCAAATGAAAAATCCGTATAAAGTGCTTTCCCCAAGGAAACAACGTCGGGCCTTGCTGGGGCTCGAACCCCTGCACCCGCAGTCTCACGATTTCGGGTCCAGATATCTAACCACTAGGCCACCGACGCCACCAATATCCTTTCAAAGAGCAGTGCATGCATTAATATTGTATAGTAACTTCGGAATCGCTTATTTGTTCTAATATTATCATCTTGAACCTACAGATAATACTGTGCGCTTATTTTTTTATAAGTATGCCCACAAAAACTGTTCTAATGCTAACAAAATTTATTAGAGAAAAGATTCTAATGCAAATTATTAGAGTGAAATAGAAAAGTGCAAAACCGTTACACAGGGAGACAATTTTGCTGGTTTGAAAAAAATATCAATAGATTTTTTAAGCCCCTAAAAAATTCCACAAAGCAATATCCAAAACACTAAAATCCCAAAAATTAAAATAAAATTGAAATAATAGAATTCAGTCATGGATTTGGAAATATTTCACCTCGAGAAAAGCGTGCACTAAAAAGGGGCGGTTCGCATAAGTAGGGAAAAGTATTAAAATATCATCATCACACTTTTGGAAAGTTGGCTTTGAACAAAAATACAACTAAAACCATCGATTGTGTGGAGAATAAAGGGTGCGAGGAACAAGTGGATCGTGAGTGAGGGTGTTGTTCATATGGGAGGCAGCGTGGTGGATTCAGGCTCTGGTCAATTTTTGAGCTTGTAGAGTTATTGGTATCATCTTATAGCTTGTTCAGTTGTCTGTATTTGCAAGAAAAAAAAGATCCATTTATCTTGAATACAAGTTGAGATATTTGCAAATGAAGGAGGTGGGGTCACCTGTTTTCAAAGGCAAAATTATTGAGAAAATGGCCACTAAAGATTAGTTATTTCCTTAACTTAACAGTCGGTGGTAACAGAAAATTTACATTTTTTGTGTGCTTTTAATCAACGTTTTTCAGAAAAATCCATATATATATTAGTTCTTTAATGGGCATGAAAGATGTTGAGCTAAAAAACAAAAATTTTGATCAAAATTCACAAACCTGTGGAAAAATATAAGATTCTTCACTTTGATAGTTTTGACAAGAGCCTGATTCCACCACGCTGCTTCACATATTTTCTACGACGAGCACGGACAAAGCCGGTCAGAATAAAGAGGTGGAAAACAGCAGACAAGTGAGACAAAGTAGGTAACTCACAGAAAGGTAATCAGATGTTTAAAAAAAACCCATTAAATAGTATGCAAATTTAGTAGCGTAAAAAAAATATTTTGGTTTGAAATGTAATTACGTTTTGTTGTTGCTCGTCAGCAGGCTGGCTATGATAATGTGTGAATGGACACAAAGTCATAGACCGATAAACGGGGGGAAAAAGAGAGAGAAAGAGAGAGAGAGAGAGAGAGAGAGAGAGAGAGAAAGAGA